TTGAGTAAACGTTTACAGCGTTCCTTAGCTTTGAGAGTCAGGAAATGCGTGCAATGAAGCGTTTCTGAAACAGATCAAAATACCATTTTTCTTTTTGCTAAACATGCAGACCCTTTTATGGTCGCTCACCTAATTGTTTTTTGGACTCTAATACCTGGTACTCTGCATACTTCAATGAGTTGTTTATATGTTTTTTGAGCTCGCTCCTCTATAAAACATATTTTCCCCATTATCAAATGACATTCCAGATTTTTTTTTCTTTTATAGATGATAGAGAGCTACACAGCACTGCCTACCAGGAGTAGGCATGAAGCAGGGAAACCTAATATCAGTGCATTTGTTTAGACAAATGTAATGTCATTTTAGTAACACAATTAAATATTTTAATGTAAATATAGCTAGCATACTTCCAGTATAGTAGTTTTTCCTTTCAAATTCTACTTAATAGGATCTTTTTCTGTAATCTTTTCTGGTTCTCATACTTTATTTTTCTTTTTGGGATCCATTCAGTCTTAGTATAATTATACTAATACATAATCTTAATGAATTGGATAAACGGAAGAGAATGTATGGTTGGCTATATGGCAACTAAAAAGAAATGCATGTAACTAAGGCGTCTACAAAATTCAGATCTAAAATAAACGGGACAGGGAAGTTTGGGGGAAATATTCTATACCCATCATATGCCTTATCCATTTTATTTTACAATAGCTTTTAAAACCTGTTTGTTTACTTTAACCCTAGCATTTTGGGTGTTTAAGTCCAATTTATTGCCAATGCTCATCCCACTTTGGAAAGCAGTAAACCAAGATCAACAACGGCACACCCTCACTCTCATCCTTTGTTACATTTGAACAATATCTCATTCAAGGTGTCTGTGCAGCAGAACTCCAAAGTACAAAGTAAAACTCAAAATCGGCTTTGTTGCAAACTCTAAAAAACAATACAAAGATAAGTAAGCCAGGAACAAAAATCAGAAACCTTCACTTTTTATAGAAAACACAGAACTAGGACAGACACAACTAAGAGGGAGAACTCAACAAAGGTCAAGGAAAGACTGAGACAATATATACATACACCAGATAATTAGAAAGATAGGAAACGCAAGAGAATACAGCTGAATCGAATTAAGCTAAGAGACAAGAGGAAGCAAAACAAGACAAGGGACTATCAGTATAAGTAACAAAGGACGTAACAAACACTTCCTTGTTACTTCCTTTGTTACTTACTTACTTCCTTTGTTACACTGAGACGAGGACTAAGACACGTGAACTTAATACAGAGACGGGAGATAAACATGAAGACATGATTGACTGGGGAGACAGAGAAAGGGAACACAAAAGATAATAACTAAAATTTACATAATTTAATGAAAATCACAGACTGGAAACAAAGGGAAACTAACAAAAAACTAGAACCTATGACCTGGAAATATAGTTAATAAAAATCAGAGATACTAGGAATATAGCACATAAACAGAATCAATCAAACACACACAAAAAGAGAACAAAACCAAAACTCAGTCACAATTAAAAGCTAGGGAGTCAAGATGTGTTTTCAGATGGGATTTTAAAATGTCAAGGGTTGGAGAGATCCTGATTTAAATGGGCAGACTGTTCCAGAGTATAGTCACAGCAATCGCAAAGGCCTGTTCTCCTCTGTGTTTTAGTCTGCCTCAGAAGACTATGGAGCTTAAAACCAAAACTCACCATAACCTAGAATGAATCTAAAGACCTGACAGCATCCTTGTTACATGTCATCAGCAGTTGTTCAACATATTAGTCCACTAGATGCATTAATACAACCTACAGGACAGGGGCAGCTTGTTATAGTGTCTCACTTCAAAATGATATGAAAAACTCCGGCTGTTATCATGAAAACGGAATATGAATAGCGTGCTAATTTCCTTAACTTAGTGTTTTTGCAGCAGAAAGTTAACACATGAAAAACTATCTGCTTTTTAGAGGCTACTCTGTTTCATCTTATTATGTTTCACATTTCATGTTTCATATTTTTATTAAATATTGTGCCCAACATTCTGAAATCACAATAAACAATCCAATAAACCTTTTGGTTCTTTTAAAAAAGTTCCTGGGACTAAGAGTTCTTTGGGTTGAAAAGCAGCTTTAGTCAGCAGATTTTCTCTTGACAGCAAAGGTTTACTAGTTGTTGTTGCAACACTGTGACAGCACCATCGTGCTTTGTGTGCCCTCAGGAACAGTTTTCTAACACATGTTGCCATCCGGGAGTTTTTTCAATAGTGATGTCAGAATTTAAATGGCACAGAGGACCCCTTCAGCAAACAGATGAAGCAGACAGTAGACAGTAAATTCTCTAAAACCAGTATATTTAAGGCGTATAATTTCATGTAATTTAATTAGAGGCTGTTTTACAGTTCACCATGTATGTGTACATAGTGTGACACTAACTAACACCCTGCTGAACATGTTTAGAACAAGTAAATCTCAAATCAAGACTAAACTTACCATCAGCAGTGCAAACACGGGCAGAGCTTCAGACACCAATTCTTCTTACTTGATGTCTGTCTTCTTCTAATTTTACCACAAGCCACAGTTTACTCTGTCCAACTCTGTAAAAAGGCTGTGGTCTGAAAACATCTTAATGTGGAAGCCTGACAGTCAATCGAGGGATTGGAGCATTGCTAAATGTGTGCAGAGGGAAACGAATTAAAACCTTGTATCTCGATAGAGTCATCTCTACTGGACCTCAAGAAAAACAAATTCTATTTTTACAGACTGAAAGCTTTTGTTTTTAACATTTCAGTGGTTTGTCTATTCCAAAGACTTGGGTTGACATTTCCCATCATAACACCATAAGGTTTTAATGAGAACCACGAAAACAGTCTGCTCTGTGCTGGACTAAAGCAGATTCTAGAATCCCAAGATTATTCGTTTTCATAGTTCGGTCACATCACTGATTTTATTTTGTCAAACTAACAGTCCAAGTCTAAATAATTTGTATGACTCTTGATTCATTGTAAACATTATATTGATTGGTTGACACCATTAGAGAAAATCTGTTATTAAATTAAAATTAAAAGCAGTGGCATAGAATAGGAGGAAGCTGAGGAGGTAGGGCTACTAATTGGAAGGTTGGTGGTTCAATCCCTGGTTGCTCTGGTCTGCATGTCAAATATCCTTGGGCAAGTTACTAACCACAGGTTGTTCTCCAGTGTGTTCACTGGAGCATAAACATGTGTGTGTTAGATAAAAGGTTTATGGAGGTAGGGATGTGTGAATGCAGCAGGTTGTATAAAGTGCTCAGGTGGAATAGAAAAGCTCTATATGAGAACCAAAATTCTAAAAAGGAAATTGTTTAAATACAGCTGAATCCTTGCAAACTATTTTACTATCATGGCTACTCGCATTCATTTTAAACATTTTCAATTCACTTTTTCATCAAATCACAATTACAGTTCTCTCGAGGCTATTTATATTATAAGATAAATAGCCTACAATAATACAGAGAAAATTCCAACAATTAGCTGACCCCCTTTGAGCGAGCACTTGGTGACAAAGGGATGGAAAAACCTTTTTTTAACGGGAAGAAGCCTCTTGTCGAACCAGGCTCAGGGAGAACCGGGTGAAGAGAGAGAGAGACGGGACAAATACACATCTGTGGTTTCAAGGAGGTTCTGAATTTAGTATCTTACTTGTCTTAAGATTTGGATCTGTTAGCTGCCAGTACATTTAAACATGTAACCTTTCACTGATGGGTTCTTAGATCATCCAAACTGCTGGAAAAAGCTCAGTTTCAGAGACATAAAGTTGTTTATCAGTGGTAGGCAGTATGAGGATTTAAAAATATTTTTAATATGTAGTTCTTTCCTGTAAGAAATTTGCCAGTGAGCAATGGGGTTTATCCACTGGTGCCAGCAACAAATCCAAATCACCATAACTGTTTTCTTTTCTAGACTGTAAAAAAACAAAAAGATTTTCTCTGCTACATAAATCTGTATCTTTGATCTAGTAATTAAATCTTTAAATTAGCTTCAGTTTAAAAGACAATTTGTCTAAATAGAGACACGACATGAAACATTAAGGTTGTTCTTAATAAACAGGATGAAAGAAAACAGAACAAACAAAAGGGAATAGCATGCAACATGTGAGTCAAAGCCACAACACTGCCAGCCATGCAGTGGGATTTGTTTGTTTCTTTTTTAGAAGGGCTTAATATTGTGTCTACATCTAGAAAACAAATGAATCATTTTTATGGTGACAGTGTCTCTTAATGCCATATTATTATAACATTTTACACCAATAATAAGAAAAAAGAAAGCATGTTTTGAAAGACTGGATAATGTTTTTTATTAGTATGATGTGTAAGTTGCAAAACATGTTGATGCCAAACATATTAGCAACTAGTGCAGTAATTTTGACCAGGACTGACTTGCTGTTAAAACATCCTAAAATCCAAATGGTGGATTATATATTTTATATTAAGTTAAAAACCTACCAAATCAGACAGACTTTGTCAATGTCAAAACAAAAATGGGTGTAGTGATGTATTTCATCATATATTTGTATAATCAAAACAAATTCCCAGCGACTGAGGTTTGGGGTCCACCAAAGAGATGAATTTTCCTTGCCCTTGCCCACTTACCTGACTACTTACCCAAACAGGCACAACAAATCAATTGCCAAAACGTGGCAGGCTATAATCACATTTTAGAGTCTTAGTTCTGCTGTTTCCAGCTGCTTTTTTTCTTTCAAGGTGGTCAAATTAAGTTTACTGACTTTGCCATAGAAAACAAAGTTACCCAGTACTTGCACAAAAATAAATAAACAGGGATAATAAAAAGAAGAGACTGAACAACAATAGACTGAGCCAGGAGGAGGAGGCTAAAGATCAAGCTGGAAATATGGAACCACTTAGGGCTGAGAGTGCAGCCTTAAAGGGTTAAAGATGGTTGTGGGATAAGTGGAGCTCGTTTATCGCAAATTTGACAGTGGTAGTTAAATGTAGAGTTTTCCCTCCAATCTGCCAGTCTGAGGAAGCAGACAAGCCTCTCTGCTTTCTTCACCACCTATCCGTCCCTCTCCTGTGCTCTTCTTTGTTGTCTATGGCTGCCTGTCTCCTCATCTCAGCCCTAAATCATCTCTGCGAAACAGGACAAAGAGAAAAAGGATTTTTTTCCCCTTGTGTTTCCTCTCTTCTCTCACTTCAGCACTCATTCTTATTTCTGCTTTGGTCCCTCATGTTTATCTTCTTCCCTTCATCTCCATCCACCCCTACGTCTTTTAAACCCTGAGTCTTTGCCCCTTTCTATTCTCGTTTCTTTCTGTGCCTCACAGTGGAACTATATTTTCAACTGAAACCCTGGAGTCTTTGCAGATGTCCGCAACCCGGCGCTGAAACGGGTGCTTACCAGCAGCCCAGATGCATTTGCCACTCCTTGTGATGTCCTTGTTATGTGAAGTGATCAGGATGGGGTCCGGCATCATGCAGAAGCAAAGTGGTGAGTACACCATGAAAAGACCACAAAGAGGCTGTTAGCATGATAGCATTACAACAGCAATTACTGCAGTTTAAATTTTTTCCCACTTTCTTAACAAATGAACTTATGTTCCACACGTACAACAAAACAGGAACCAAATGGAGAGACCTGTGCATCATTTTATAAACGTAACGATACAGACAAACAATACAAATATATATTTATTCATCATCATCATCATCATCATCATTTAAGACATGCTTACACTAGAGAGCAGGTGTCATTAAAGAAGCTTAGGTTGATGCAGTTCTTTTTTACACAGCTCTCATATAACTTTATCATCATCATAATGATATTTATCTGGTCTAATTAAATCACCTAACACAGAAAGATCCATTTTTCTGTTAATTACTCCAGAAACCCACAAAACAAGTATTTCAGAAACATTCCACAGAACTTATTGTATATAGATTATTACTAATAAATCACTTTTTATTTCCACAAATTACTTTATTTCTTCAGTATTCAGTGTATAAACTAGCATGTCTTTTCTTGTTAAACTCTGTACCAGCATATAGTCACAGTGTTTGGGAATTATCTCCAGATCCAGATTTGTCTCTAATCACTTTCTTATCCAATCCCTCTGAAAACAGTCCAGACCACAGCCACACAGGTCTGTGGTAACCCTCGTGCTCACCGGTGTCTGGTATTTCCTAAGAAATCAGAGACTAATAGAGGGGGATCCGGTCTCAATTAGACCAACATTCTGGCTTGTAACATTTTTCTCTCTGCCCCCGTCACCCACCTAGAGGTCAAGTGTTAAGATAATAATTATAGGGGCTTCATAAAGCCATCAGTTGCCACTAACACTCACTCAGGTTTATGCGCTTCCAATTCAGGTTGTGAAAAGGCAAATTGAAAGAACGAGAGATACATTTTCAAAATCTTAATTCTGTCATGTGCGTATGATAAACGTGTGATGGTACTGGACGCACATAGATGGTAACATGACACATGAATAATTTATTATTTAGTCATCTTTATCATGTTTCACATTTAAAATTAAATCATTGCCACAAAATGGCTACTACTGTATAGCATGTGTAAACAACTTCATGCAAGTCCTAAAGTGGAATCTTTAATCCTTAATGTTTCCCAAATGAGGCAAGAGAACATTAACCAAACACATTAGAAGATAGCCTATAAAATATGCAAGTTATAATGACTTATAAAAACTCCTACTTAAAAATTAATACATTATACGAGCTGAACATATTGGATGACATTTGATGCTAATACCTTAGAACAGGTTAATGTTGGATTGCATTTATAGGTCTAAAGGGTTAAATGCTAGCTGTTGGAATGACTGCTTGACCTGCTGTCAGCATTCATCTCTTTTTACCACGGAGATTTATGCTGTCATTTGATTTTTCCTTCCCGGGAGGAGGCACAAATTCCTCAGGGGTTGTGTCAGGAAAGGGAGGGCATCCCACGTAAAACTCTGTCAAATCAAACATGAGGAGCTACCCGCTGGGACGACCACTTGTGAATTAGGGAGCAGCGGAAAGTAGCTTAATTTTAATCTGCCTTTTCTCTTCATTCCTTGTTTGCTCTTTTTTCTCCTGCAATTATCCCTCACTCTATCAGTATTCATGTTTATGACTGACTGTAGTAGTAAAAAAAAAACACTCAATGGGGGGAAAAACAACAGAAAATTGTAGAAAAATGCTTCCACCTACTCCTCTCACACACTCAAAAGACTTAATATGACAGCATAACAACTTGCAAAATAAGTAAGAACTGCACCATTATTATGAGACACATCGTCCAAGTATGTAATGTGTAATGAAGCAAAGTACCATTTTAGTTTGGATGACTTAAGCCTTTTTTGAGAGGCACACTGAGTTTTAGTCAAATCATTACCTGTCTGCATCTACCAGGTCTATCTGTATTACTCAAAATAAAGACTTTGTGGGCACAGGTGTTAGAGAAGTTGTTTACCCAATGTTTTATATTTTATACTGTAGCAATGGCACTGGGAACTTTGAAAGTAGTACATTTCTCACTGGCTACACATTTATGATTATACATTAAGGGGTGAGTCACGCATCTTAGTTTTTTAATTCTGGTGTTTCTGGTCCGATTGTTACAGGTGTATAAAAATGAGCACCAAGTCTGCCTTTACAAATTGTTGCTAAAAAATGAGTTTGGTATTCTGATAGGATGCCATCATTGCAACAAGTCAGTTTATGAAATTTCTTCTCTCAGACTCTAAGTGGCATTATGGGAAAGTGGAAGCGTTTAGGAACCACAGCAACTCAGCCGTAAAGTGGCATACCACGTAACGTTACAGAGCAGGCTTGCTGAAGGGCATGGTGCAGTAGCTGCAGAGGTCCCAACCTCTTTAAATGTGCATTAATAGCAGCACCAAAAAATATGCAAATACTATATAAAGCACAGACTTCTTTGATAGTTATTGGTCTGGTTTGCAACCCAATACTCAAAGTTGCCCCCCGCCCCCCCAGTAATGCATATCTTTAATCAATAATAGAGACCCAAACTATTTGTCATGCTGTAAAGTTAAGCATTTTAACATGGGAGTCTAACATGTACCAGCAGTACAGTTGGTGGAGGTTCTGCAAAGGCTTTATGTTTCACTTTCTAAGACTGCCACTTGGATGCTACTAGTGATCCATGTCTGTTCACCAACAATTTTGGCTAAATGATTTTGCCTTTTGGGAAAACATAAGGTAAAGAATAAAGTCAAAGAATTGTAAAGAGTCAAAATCTTTAAAAACGAGCACTCGGAAATTGAAAAAAAAAAAAACATTATGTTTTAGAAAACTACTGAATCAAGGCGCCTGTTTATCAAAGTGTGTGTAGCAGCATTAAACATGAAATCATCAGTCAATATTAAGCAATTGCTGCTACATCTGCAAGACAATTCTGACTAATTATTGAGCAACCTTCTCTGAAACAGCATAGAAGATGAAGAACATTGCATCATTGCACTGAAAACAGACAGTAATCAAAAGAAGTATAACATATAAAGAGAAAAATCTACAGAGTCTCCTTATATTTCCCATTTATTATAGTTAACATAAAAACAATTAAAAACAAAGTTGCTTCAGAATACAAACAGCCTATCAGGACCATCATGCAGAGCTCTAATGTCACATAAGGTAACAGTTTTATGCACTCAAATCAATAATGTTGTGCAAACACCTTATGAAACGCACAAGACAAAGGTTTTACAGATCTCCAGGGGCTCCATAACAACATTTGAAGCTAGTAGAAAGTAGATGAAAATGTAACACAAGCTGGGAGATCAAGAGGTGGAAAAGATGTTAAATTGCAGCACATTTTTGACTCTGCTGCTGTCAAGTGTCTGGACATTGGGACATGACGGTAGCACCCCTACAGCTTGTGTTTTTTTAGTGTGCGACTCCACCTTTTTCTAGTTAATGTACACATTATGGAGCACTGTTGAAACATATCTGTTCCTGTTAAGAATATATTTTAAAATAGGTGTGATCATTTTAACTTAAATATGTAAACTTATAGCATAACCAGGATTTGTTTGTTTTGATTGATTGGGTTATTTAACTAGATTACATATACCATGTAAAGAAACACAACTTAGATTTTTATTATAGGGTTCATTGCATTCTTTAAAAGTTCTTAACTTACACACAAACAAACAGCATCAAATGTCAACTCAGCTGCAAGCTGAAATTTCAGACATCAGGAAGAAACTGCTCATATGGATATGACAAGTTGGAGAACTTAGCTTAGCTTCAAAACCATTATTGTTTCCTTATTTTTCCTATTTAAACTTAGTTCAGTGATCTTTATGCCTTCACTTTCCTTAAATACTCCAGTTTTGTGAATTATGTTTTAGGGTGTAAGCTCTTTCCAAAATGTTAACATCTTTCCCTGAAACCCCAACAGATCTTGTTACACCTGGTGCTTGTTAAAAACCCAGGGCAATCCGATACAAGGTCAAAGTTCAGCGTTTTACGCTACCTTAACCTGCCGCTCCTCTGTAAGTCCCTTAAGCCTGCAGATCGATAGCATATGTGTAGAGAACTGTTTTTCAGACAATGAGCTGAGAGCTCAGCGGGTCTCAAAACCGAAATGAATCACTGAGTTATTCTGGGGAAATCTGCTCTGTTCCACTCTGCACTGGAGTTGAAAACTCTGTCTTTGGAAGTTTTATAAAAAAAATTACCAAAGCACTATTGTCATGCAGGGCTAAAGATGTTTTCATAGGTAATATATATATATGAAAACAGAATATATATTATATACATTTTGCATTCTGCTCAAATTTTGGCTAATGAAATTCCATTATTTTATTTATGTGATGGTTAAGACAAGTTATCCTTATTTGCTAAATCCATGTAGCTTGTATATCTTTGCAATACAATTATATTCAGTTCACAACCAAAGTCACCTCGAGGCACTTGATACAATAATTAAGAGAAACACTAAAAATGAGTCCCCTGTGAACAAACATTAGGCGACTGTGGGAAGGAAAAACTCTTTTAGCAGGAACCTCATGCAGAACGTGTCATCTGCCACGACATGCTGAGGGTGATGGGAGGACCAAAGACACACAATGGAAGAGTGCCAGAGATTAATAATAGCTAACGATAATACTGTGAATGCATTAATTTAGCTTCACTATCTTATTCAGATATGGTGAGCTCTGTTTCTAAAAATTAAAGATGGTGACAGATACAATGATTAAATAGTGCCTTCAAAACAGCAGATTGCAAACAGGTGCTGGGTCACTCTTCTTATAAAGTCTATGGTCATAAACGGACTATTGACAGACGTGAGAGGAACAGCTTATGTTGGACTGGACGTATGCCATTAATAGACTGAATAACAGTCTATTAACAGAAACAGAAGCTCTAAAATGAAATCTTTGCCCTTTCTTGAAAGATGAAAGAGTTCACAGGACACGTTTTTCCAACTAGTTTCACTGCTTCTCATCTAAAATCACTGAGCTCTCCAACTTGTTATTGTTGAATTGTTGGTATTTTTTCTTCAGGATTCACTCTTGAGGAAAAAAGAAAGTATTTTCATCAGCAGCCATTAAAAATTAAAAAAAAAACATTCCCATGTGATGCATTTGTGTCATGAAACAAGTTTTAAAACTTTTTGTTCAAGGAAAAGCAAGTTCAGAGTCCAACAGATAACAGGACACCTATTCAAGAAATCTGTTAATTCAGAAAAAAAAAAACAAACGCAGGAAAGGAAAAGCAAAGGGGAACCCACACTAATGTGGATGACACTAAAAGACTGATATATACAGAAGAGGAAATAAGGAAAGAGGAAACAGCTGGGGACCAAAACACAACTAAAGACAATCAAAGCAGGGACAGGAAGAAAAGCTGCACATCCCATGATTTAGGAAAACTAAACCTCAAAGTAAACACAGGAAGTAACTAAAGAAAACAGACAGAAATATTGAGAGTGAGGCATGGGACAGTGATGAGGAAACAAATACAGATGAGACAGAAGGAGGAACAGAATGGAAACCGACAGGGGAACTAACTAAATACAACCCTCAAATCAGTAACTAAAGCTCAGAACTGAAAAGAAAGCTAGATTTCACCAATTTACAATCCAAAGAAAACCAAAAATTAAAAACTAAAGATAATTATGCACAAAACTTAAAACGCCAGCTCCAACCCTTGAGTGATTATAAGAAAAAACTGTTAAAAAGCTGTTCGTAACTCTTGATTTGACAGTCAAAAAAAGGTCAACATTTAATGAGAAACTAAACAAGACTATACATGATTAAATGTTTTCATAGTTGCCTTGAAGTTACATGATCTTCTGTGTCTTTATTTATGAACGAATAACATGATTTGGGTTTTTGAAAACTTTTTAAGACAGGTTTCACTTTTGCTTTTGCACACACACACATATCCTAAACCACAGCCACACATAACAAGGTGAATGCAGTGACCCACAAGGATCCAAGTGCGATTGCTCAGACTCACGCACACTTGCTGTCTGCTGCTCAATCCAAATTTCCATCCTACCTTGCTTGTCTTTCCATATCCCTCCTTATCCCCGATGGATTGAAAGCATTCTTTCTTTCTTTGTCGAGTCTTCTCTGTACCTGGAAGCAGATACAGCCACTTGCTTTTGTTATAATATAAGACTTACCTTGGCTTAGATCTAAGCTTGACTGTCATACTGTACCTCACTGTTACAGAACATATCACATTTTTGGGATAGAAATAGATTAAAATATCTATTTGTTGACATATATCATTTAATAATATGTGATAATAATATATTTATCAAAACGTTGTAGAGCTAAATTTTATTATTATGAAAGAAAAATCCAACTATTAGTCATAAGTTATAAGTTGAGTTACTGATCAGTGCTTCAGTCTGTAATCTCTGCAGTAGCAGGGAGTCGATGAACAGAAAGTGCTGTTTTCATGTCAAATAAAGAATATTTCTATATTTCTAGTCCTAAACTTAATCCTACTAAGTGTTAGACTATCAAGTCATCAGGAGAGCATCGTCAGAGTGACATGTAAGCTTTGTCAGGACACGACTTCCTTTGTGCACCTGGTAATGTACATGTAAGGAGTTAGCTAAAAGGACATATAGACACAGCATCACACTCTGTGCTCTTCTCTGTTCAAGCTAACAAGGCAGCAAACTAAGAAATATCAAAGATGCTGAACCTCAAAAAGAAGTGTGTGCCATTACGAAGGAATTACTACAACTATTTGATGGAGTGAAATACTGTAACGCTTCGATGCATGATTTTTATAGAGTTCCTGGTAATGTGTTGATTTTCAGCAGTGGATCTTTCTCGAAATTCTCTTGGTATCTTGAGGATTTGTGGTCTCTCCTTTCCTTCCTCATCCTCTCGCTTCCTGGCTTTTATTTGTTCCTTACTCTCTCCCTCCTCTACTTTTACTTTAATAATTCCTCTCCTGAATGCAGCTCTGGCTTAATCGTCTTCCTATTGTCTCCTGCAGCTCAGAGAGAAACATCAGAGGACTGTCGGAGCTGTTTGGAGTGTTCCCGGGACAACGGCTGCGTGCGTTGCCCAGAGCGACTCTTCCTGTTCCTGCAGAGGGAGGGGATATCTCACCATGGAACTTGTCTCCACGCCTGCCCTGCAGGACACTACGGACAGAGAGGAAAGGATGTCAACCGCTGCATGAGTGCGTTTTGTTTTTGTTTTTTTTTTACAAAAATGGGTTCTTTCCCCTGCAGAGATCTCTGACTGTGACTAAATATTTGCTGATAGTCTTACTCACATTAGCACGTATGACTTAACTGTCTTGAGGTCTGAAATAATGAATAACAACCGACAGTACTCATACACAGAGTCTGCAGTCCCAGACCACTTCTTCTTTCTCTTTCTTTTCAAGATGCACCTTGCTTAATTCTTTCCAGAAACATGCTGTCCTAATAAACGAAAAGAAAACTTTACCCAACAGCACATAGTTTCTGTCTCATTTACTGGGAAAATCAAAGATTCCACAATAGTTCACTTTATTTCTTTTCCAAACATATTTGCTATCACTGACTCCCCTTAACCTTAACACAAAATATAATATTAAAATCCTTTCTGATTTGCCCTTACCTCGGAGAAACAGTGAAAGAGCAAAGACACAATCTTCCCTGACTGCTCTGTGAACCGTGACTTCTAATATTAATATATAAAGATTCTAGATACAACAAATCAGTTGCTTGGCATCTCAAAATGTCATCAGAACAAAGTTTGTTTTTGTTGGATGCACGTATTGCACAATCTGTATCTGTCAAGCACACAAAAGAACACGTTCTGTCTGCTTAAGGCAAACAAGACTAAAGCAAAATACAAATCACCTCTCTGAAAGTGAATTGGTTTTAACTGTTCCTGCGTTTCCTGACATAACAGCACGTTTCAGTAGGAAATATATGATATTCAGGAAGCAAAGATGCTACTCTCTTTTTTCACCTTTAGTTTTCAGCAGCTTTTCTCTCACTGGACAAATTCAGCTTTTTAATTATTGTGTTCACCCTCTCAGCTAAAATGAAAATATGTGTGACCAGGTGAAAAATTGACTTTTTCATGTAACAATGATTACCCAAGTACTCTACACTGTGTGTGATAATCTGTTTCCTCTCAGAGTGCCGTTCTTCAGACTGTGAGCAATGTTTCAGCCGGGACTTCTGCACCAAGTGTAAGCCTGGCTTCCAGCTTTACAAAGGCAAGTGTCTGACCCACTGCCCAGAGGGAACTCGTCCCCACCAGACAGACTGCCTTGGTAAGTTACACTTTTGATATCATTTGTAACTTAATAAGTCAAATCCCTTGTCCCTCTGTTTGTGATCCTGAGAAAAATGTATTTTGACATGATTATAGATAATGGCCTCTAGAAAACAGAATGAGCATTAATATAGTATAATAATATATAGTAATATAGCATTAACTAATAAGTGAATGAATGTTGAGAGTGAATGGTTGTCTTTCTCTTCATCAACTCTGAAATAGATTGGTGACCCATTCACCCTTCGGTCAGTCTCTCTCCCCACTGCACCCTGACTAAAACCCTATTAGCACCGTTATTGACATTAGGTAGGTAGTGTCCTTTAAAAAGCTATTGCTTCATGTAAAAAAAATAAATTGTAGTAACAGCTTTGATCTCACCAATTTAGAGTGAGTTCTTTCACTCTCCAAGAGCTGTCTCCAGTGTACAAAGCTAGTTTAAAGGGTTGATTTGAAGGATTGCTTGGGACACGAGCCATTGTTTGCAGTCCCATTCACTATAATATCTGTCTTTCCACATTTGTATTAGGACTTCTTTTGCTTCTAGGCAGGCATTTCATCTTCTTCTCACACTGGATTCAGGGCAGAATACATCCATACATTGACTAGCTACTACTAGCTCCACTGCTTCTTGGACTCTGTGTGGTACAGACTATCCAAATGACTGTGTTTCATCTGTCGTTAGTAAAATTCTTGTATTTTATTACATTTACTAAGTGCTAGTTAGCAGGTATGTGTTTCTATTTCTATTTCTAACAAACATGAACACTGATTTACTATTGTCTCCAAGCCTGCTTTTGAAATTACAAAAAAAGAAATTGCAAATGAATTTCACTTTCACTACAACACTTTTGAGTGTGGCATGTTAACTTTTTGACTGAAAACCTCTTAAGCAGTACAAATAAAATAAACATATTGTTTCCTATCTTATTTCTTGTTCTAACTTACTGTATGAAGTGTATTAACTAAAGCTTTCCTGACTCCAGCTATAACAAATGAGGGTCTGCTGTGCAATGGACACATTAGTGAAACTAATCTGAAAGGTTTAATCAACGGCAGGCTTGTTCTCTCAAGCTCATCTCCTTTTATCTACCTCTCTGGCTCTGTGGCCACATCTCTACTGTGTTTCATGTGTGATTGATTGAGTATTTGATTATCTGTGGTTTGCGGGAGTTTTATCTCACTGAAATTTGCCTAATAATTTTGCTAAACTGAATTTGACCTGTAGCTTTTGTTTCTCATGCAAAGGATGTGGCATTAACAGAATTTCAAACTGTTTATCACATTAAATGAAGATGACAACGTGACTGCTACATTTAGTTTAAAGGGGGAAAAAAAATCTACCTTCCTCTGGAACATGTCTTACACTCCTCTACTCCCTTTCTTTCTCATCCCATTCATTTCCCAGTGAAATTCTTTTTGATGGAGTCAAACCAGAATTCAACACACGATTCATATTAAAGGTCTTCAAAGAGGTTTTAGAATTTATCTTCATATCTCATTGTGTATCATCTCTGCCTTCTGACTAAGTGAGATGTATTGTAGAGCTCACTCATCATTTGACACTGGTTGATATTCCTCTGCCTTCTACAGACACCATCTGCAGCTACTGTTGCTTCTTGGCATCGAGACCACATCTGTTTTTCATATCAGTGTTAGGGTTTCATGTCTGACTGTTAGTACACACCTCAAGCAACTGCAGAAAACAGTCTCTGGAAATCTCTTTATTTCAAATAAACAGTGATAATGGACAGTGATAATGATAATGATTTCCAATTGTTGCCCCGTTTTGGCGAAGGTTACCGATTTTCCTTTGTGGTCTGTCTGGAAAATTTTGCAGCAGCTGATTTTGAGGGTGACATCACTCACCATTCAGCCAGTTACTGCAAGTGTAATGACCACTGTAGTAACTCTTCATCTAGCATTCATCTACCTTTGATTATAACAACGTGTTTGTAAGGGGTCTGAAATAAAATGTTAGTATTAATATAAACTGCTCAAAAAAATTAAAGGAACACATTTTGATCAGAGTATAGCATCAAGTCAGTTAAACTTCTGTAATATTGATCAGGTCAGTTTAGTAGCACCTCATCTTTTCTGACTGTTTTTTTCACTAGTTTTGCATTTGGCTAAGTCAGTATCACTATTGGTAGCATAAAGTGATACCTGGGCCCCATCCATCCATCCATCCATCCATCCTTCCGCGTTATCCAGGGCTGGGTCGCGGGGGCAGCAGCCTAAGCAGAGAAGCCCAGACCTCCCTCTCCCCAGCCACCGCCTCTAGCTTATCCGGGGGAACACCAAGGCGTTCCCAGGCCAGCCGAGAGATATAATCTCTCCAGTGTGTCCTGGGTCTGCCCTGGGGCCTCCTCTCGGTGGGACATGCCCGGAACACCTCACCCAGGAGGCGCCCAGGAGGAATCCTTGTCAGATGCCCGAACCACCTCAGCTGGCTCCTTTCGATGTGGAGGAGCAGCGGCTCTACTCTGAGCCCCTCCCGGATGGCTGAACTTTTCACCCTATCTCTAAGGGAGAGGCCAGCCACCCTTCAGAGGAAGCTCATTTCCGCCGCTTGTATCCGCGATCTCGTTCTTTCGGTCACTACCCACAGCTCGTGGCCATAGGTGAGGGTAGGGACGTAGATCGACCGGTAAATTGAGAGCCTGCGCCCCACGTACAGCTAATCATAGGTAATTCAGCTCATCCAGGAAGGTACTTCAGTAAGTACCATTGCCAGAAGGTTTGCTTTATCATCCAGCAAAGCCTGAAGAGAAAAGAGGAGATTCCAGGAGACAGGCAGTTACTCTAGGAGAGCTGGACTGGGCCGTAGAGGACGCTTAACCCATCAGAAGGGCCGGTATCTGCTCCTTTGTGCAAGGAAGAACAGGATAATTAGTGTCAAAGCTACAAAATGTCCTCAGCAGGCCATTAGTGTGAATGTCTATGACCAAAAAATTAGAAACAGACAGTTGCCAGACAGTTACTGTGGAACCCAAGTGGCAATTGCTATAGAATACAAGAATAGGCGGGTCCACCACTGGTGCACTGTGCTTTTCACATATGAGAGCAGGTTCACTCTCAACACATGTGACAAACACAAAAGCGCTATAGAAGCCATAACATTGTTACACTTTTGTAACAACATTCAGCATGACTGGTTTGATGGTGGGTCAGAGATCGGCTGAGGAAGAATATCTACGAAGAGACACACAGACCTCTACAGTTTAGGCTGCTGTTAGATATTGGGATGAAATCATTGTCAGACCCTTTACTGGTGCCATTATTTTTACTGTATTGGTACTGACAATTACAGTCTGTTTTGTGTTAAAACACTCTTTTTGATGAAGGTTTTCTATTTCCTCCATTAGAAAACTGTGTCCTAGCTCCACTAGGAGAGTGGAGTGAGTGGAGCGTCTGTCTCCGGGATGGCGTCACCTGTGGTTTCAGGTGGGGTAAGCAGACGAGGACTCGGGTGGGTGGCCAGACTGGGAAAACGCCTGACGATAAAGCAACACCAATCTGCCCACCTCACAGCGAGACACAGAGATGCAGGATGAAAAAAAAGTGTACCACAGGTGAGAAAGGATACGAACCAGTAAGAAGCATGGCAATTACAGGTGCAAACAGTAGGTGCACTCTGGGCTGAAAGATTTAGCGGTTAATGGGTTTAAGAAACAACAGCAGATTCTATCATCTGTTTCTAATAAGTCGGATGCCACTAATCATTTAGCTGCTTTATTTATTATGTTGGACTGCCAACATGTGGAATTCCCTGTGGTGTTTGGTATTGTGTTCTGTTCTGTGTTGTTGACACACTTGTGCACTTTATAATGCCAAGTGGGGGAAAATGAACCCTATAAAATATTCCAACATGTGCTACTTCTAATTAACACTTGTAGGCAGACGTTACTAGTTTTCTTGTCCCTGCAGCATAATCTAGGGGTGTAGAATGAAAGGGACAGCTATGGGGCATATGTCGTGGGGCTGAATGGAAGCAAAAGTTAATTTAAAGATTCAGAGGTTTTTATTTGCATTGCTTAGAATAGTCTAAGTGGATACAATAAAGCCTTAATTTGTACAGGGCAGTCTTTGATTAATGCTGAAGTCAGTGTCGTGGTCAGGGTTTTGCAGGTTATTGCAGTGGTTCTTTAACTGGGCCCAGATATCAAGTTTTTAGAGGCTCTGCGGGACAGTTTACATTTAATTTCATGGTAAAATCAAATTTAATCAGAGTATGTTTGTCGGACATATTAGATTGTGACATAAAAAATGTTAAAAAGCTAAGTCATTGTGTAAAAAATTTACAGGCCACGATTCAATAGCTTGTAGGACCTGTGGCAGTAATAACTTGAAGAAAATACAAGTACCGTATTTGCTTACTGTATGACTTTCTCACATCATTCTGGTCTACCCTTGTTTACAAAGCTGCAGGCACTGGTTCAAGCACAACTCTCTTTAGGTCCCACTCCCAGTGCAGCATTTCGATTGAGTTGAGGTCTTGGCTAGGTCATCACGACACGTGAATTCTTTCTTTTGAGGTGTAGCTCTTTGGATTTTTGCTGTTTCTCTGAGCACTACAGTGTCATTGGAGTTAATTTTCTGGAACATCCACTCCTGGGAAGATTGGCGCCTGTCCTGAATGTTTTCCACTTTATCAGTGCAGAATAATATCCTTCAGATTGTTTTGAAATGGACTTATAACCCTTCCTGCATTCATAAGCTAGCAACAGTTGCTTCTCTAAGATAACTGTTGGTGTCAAATAGCAAAAAATATTTTTTTAAAGAGGTGGCCACAGTTCAGTTAATCAAGGATCAGTTAATCAACTGCATTTGACTAGCAAAACCTGGCCCCTCCTTAACCTCTTAATTTCTATGGAAGCTGTAAAGAGTTTTTTCTTTTTGGACAAACTGCTTCTCCAATTAGTTTCTGTTAAATAAATATGTCATGTTTTTATTTATCTTGGGTTGTATTTACAAACCTACTAAGGACCAGATTATTTGTTCTGATACGTAAAACCTTAATTTTTAAATCGGGTGTATTTTTTTTAATATAAATATTTATTTATATTATAGTTACCTGTAGCTAGTTTTGGGGTTTCATGGCATTTCTGTTTAATGACTCCTGTCCTTTATTGCTTCTGTGCTGTGGGCTCACCCTCAATATTTGAACTCGTAACAATAGTCAAATTGCAGGATAAGCTAAAACTCAAGAACAAGCAGCCCACTACCCCCCATTAACCATAAAACACGAAAGCATTCCTTCACAATGATTTTTCTTTAGAAGATCACCGATAATCCTTTTTTAATCTAATGTGTTTATCAGCACGACACCATAATTTGTCTCTAATGTGCACCCAATCTTACGAATGACAAAATATTGGTTTTCTGATTAAACATTGTCGTGGTTAGCTTTTTAAGAATATGATTAATTTTCAAGTGTCTGTAGGAAATGGAAAACAAATAGCGAACATCTTGAAAAATCGGATCATTTTGTGCCTAAGTTGCTGGACTAGCTCTGTTGCTTCTGATAGCTTCTAGTCAGTGACTAGAAGGGTTTGTTGCATTAATAGAAACCTACGTCAGTTTGGAGAATTGTTTTTCTTTTTTCTTTTTTTTGGGCTGGACAATCTTGAAGACAGATGAGATGAGTTTTATTCTATACGAAATACCCTGAAAGATGCATCTATGGCCTGTTATGGAGGATTTCCCTTTAACATAATAGATAAAATGATAGATAAAAGTGAGAACCTCTAGTATGTCCAGCTTGCTCTGCTCCCTGTGGCTAAAAATGTGCTTGTGTTTCTTTATCTTGGCCCCACCGCAGCAAGATTACATCTTAAAACATCACACATCCTCAGCTACATCAGAGGTTTGTGCATTCAGGCTGCTTTCACCCAGTGAAATTGAACCTCTTGAATTTGGTGTGGAGATAGACCGATGATCACGCCTAGGGCTTAAAGCTCATCATGTGTTTTTGTTTATGAGAGTCCAAGGGAACCTGAAAATAGACTCCACTGCAAAGCTTAAAAAAATAATAAAGATTTTGGAGCTCCCGCGTTGTGGAAATGCTGTCACTACTCGTTAAAACTGCATTTAGTCCCTTGTTCTTGGACCTTGATCAGAACTATTGTACTGGAGTCGGTCCCTGGCTCTTCTATTAATGGTTCATATCCAAAACATTATGAACCAAACTTGGCAACAGTTTCTGCCCTCCCGTAAAAAACAAGTTGTTGTTGTGACTTTTTTTCTTGTCGCATAATTTCTCCTTCGTGTACAATCAACACTTGTAGCTGTGAAAAAGTTAAATAAAGACAGCAAATCAAAAACAATGCACATGCATAGGGCTTAACTTTTCTAAGCCAACACTAATTTCTGTTTAGAGCTGCAAATCTTAGTGTGTCTGTGCACAATGCTGTGTATTTTCCATTTCTTCCACAATGGAAGGCATGTCATTTGAAGTAATTATCATTATCATTGTCAGATTGTATGTCTGGTGGCATTAGCAGAGGAAGAAATCTGATCCAGAAGAGTCTGGAGCAGGGATCAAGCTCCTGGACCTAATAGCACACATCTGGGATAAAAGAGTGCTGTGGCATCTCCCTAGCATTCCTCCGTTGTCCCAGATTAGACAGCTCTAGTCTTTTAATGCCCAGTTTCATGTTGTCTTATTGTTTTCAGATGATGGGGAAGGACGTGGGTCTCGTCTCCCAACCCTGCTCTCCCCTCTGTTTTCACCAAAGGCAGTAAACTGTCATGGGCTAACGAGGATATGTTACTCCTTTTCCTGGCAATTTAGAATCATCTGACATAGGCAGTTAGGATGTTACGTTGTCAGAAAATGTGTTGGCTAGACCATTCTGTCGCTTTTCATTCTTTTTCTTATTAACTTATCATATTAACTGTGGTGCCCAAGGTCTGAGACAGAACATGTTCAAACACAGAGTGACTGACACTGCCATGGCAAAGAAAAAAGCTCAAACAAAATAAAAGAACTATAGATATAACTTTGGCAGATCTCCCCCTTGTGAAGCACGGCTTCCAGTGCTGCTGTTATTTGACTTTTGTCTGAAAGCCCCTTAAGATCAGATATATTTGTGCTTTTGTGATTCCATGTGTGCAAAGAGCAAACATAAACTTGTATGACAAATTAATGCATCTTTAATGTTGAGGGTTTTTTACTTACTTAATGTAATAAGCTGACCATTAAAAACAGAAAGCAGTCATCCTTTCTTGCTTGGAATTTCTGTGGTTAATGTGAGGCTGTTAACTAAACTAATGCTCTAATATCCTCAGTCTTGTATTTATTGGCAGTGCTTTCAGTTATGAGAACATAATAAAAAATAATATAACTACATAATATATGCAGTTATATTATTTTTTTACAATCATTACATATTTGGACAACGACTCTTTTCTTGTAATTTTCTCTCTGTATACCATTACAGACTTAAAGTACAGCTATTTTTATTTTTTATTATTATTATTATTTATATAAGAATTGCACCCATTTGTAAAGACAGTTCCTCATTTCCTTATGTCTGTCAGTGTTAGGACTGCCAGTGGATTCAGATCACTACTGTCCATTGTTCATGTGACTGTTGGATTTTGAAGTGTACAGGGCTATACTCTCTGTTCAGATTCATTCAAACAGAACTGCAATAGTGATCTGACTGTGCTTTACAGTGCAAATGGATAATGACCCAAAGCATATTCCAAAAGCAACCAAAGAGTTTCTCTAGGTAAGGAGTCAAAGGAGCTTCTAAAGAAAAGCGTCTGGACTTCTTTAAGTTGCTTGAAGACGTTTAACCTCTTATCCGAGAAGCTTCTTCAGTTCTAAGGTCAAATGGCAGAGTCCCAGATTTAAACGCGGTGGGAGTTTCCCCCCAAAGAGGGACAAAAGGACCCCCTGATGATCCTCTAATCACATGAGCCAAGGTGTGAAACTGGGTGTGGGTCCCAATCAGCCAGGGTTTCGGGTGAGCTCATTGTAAAACCTGGCCCCACCTTATCATGTGATTTCCTGAGGTCAGATGGCCCAGGATGTGAGTGGGCGTTAAGGCGTCTGGGGAGGGATCTCAAAACTGGATTATAGATGGCAGACAGTTGGTGTCGTAAACCACCACCTCTGTTCAAAGATGGTCGCTCACAGTGGACATAGATGGCTTCTTTCACTCCTCTTTCAAACCATCTGTCCTCTCTGTCCAAAATGTGAACGTTGGCATCCTCGATAGAGTGTCCTTTATCCTTTAGATGCAGATGGACTTCTGAGTTTTGTCCTGTGGAAGTGGCTCTTCTGTGTTGTGCCATGTGCTTGTGAAGTGGCTGTTTGGTCTCTCCAATGTAGAGGTCTGGGCATGCCTTGCTGCACTGTACAGCGTACACCACATTGTTAAGTCTGTGTTTTGGAGTTTTGTCTTTCGGGTGAACCAGTTCCTGTCTGAGTGTGTTGCTAGGTCTGAAGTACACTGGGATGTTGTTGTAAGTGAACTGAAGAAGCTTCTCAGATGAGAGGTGAAACGTCTTCAAGCAACTTAAAGAAGTCCAGACACTTTTCTTTGCAAGCTCCTTTGACTAC